TGCTGAATTAACAGTGTTCATTTGGGTTTCCCATTGCAGTGATCAGACTACCAATACTCTTTCTTTGGACTCTTCCTGCATCTTCTATGAACCTCTGGCATTTGTGCTTAATGTAAATAATATCATAGATGTCATTTCAATTGACATGTGATCCATCCTAGGAGCAAATCATCCCCTTTCTTTATCCAGTGCTAGTAATTTCTCCTGTTCATCATCAACTTATAAGGAGTTCAGAATTTCTTATGATTTTGGGGAATCAGATCTTTTCAGCAAGAGCCTAAGCCTTTGGAAGCCATTGTGCTAGAGCGTTAGACAGAATCTAGATAATCTGTTTCTTAGAGAACAAGCTGACATAAAAGAGGAGTAAGATGGGGAGACATTCAGAATTTCTGTTCCTTTTAAGTACTTGTGATTCAGTACAGTCTTAAAATTCTTAGAAGAAAGCCCAACCATGACAGACATTTGTAAACTACTAGTTCACCTGTGAGTGGCAAGTATCCCTGTATTTTCAAATAACAACTTTTCCCTCCCGTAGTATTTGACTTCCACAGTGTCCTAGGACATCTGCAAGTTGTGAGCAAAACCTGATCAAGGCCTAAAGCATCTGGCAACATCTTTAATTGTGATATGATTAAGGAGTAGTTAGACTAACCTTCTCGTTGTAACAACTAGTGTGAAGTTAAATGGTTCTGCAGACCAGAAGATGATGTCTCCTTTAATTGTAATTCAATAGGCTAATGCTTACTTTTGTAGTATACTTATGCAGTCAAAAGGCAATTCAGGTTAAGAACTTAAAATTGTTTTCTCAACAACTAAAATGTACCACTAATCATTCTTGCACAAACTCACGTGAGGAGCAGGCTCCTTAAATAGTGTTAGACAATAAATGTAAGTAAGTGCCTTGATATTCAAAGACATTTATTTTCTTCCTTGAAGCTAAGGATGGTACATGAGATGAAGTGTGTTCTAGTTTTATTATTTTACATGGCATTCATTACAGACATAAGTAAATACCAGTTGTCAGGCTGAATGTACCCATGATTTTACCCACTATGGCAATTCTTTGCTCTGTTATCATGCTTTACCAATCTGTAGGCTGCTGTGAATAAGAAAAAAATCCCCAGAGATCTGAAAGTCTTGCCAGCAGATTAACAACAACAAATCCTTGCTGGCTACAAAGTGGTTAAAGGTCAGGTTAAAGGCTTGACAAACACATCATTTAGATGAACCAATTACAAAAGAAGTCCAACATGACAATTTTTAGCAGTTGGAAAAGCTGTGTGTGGTTAGGACTGATTAAAACCTCTCTTTCTTCTGAGGCATTGCACTGTGGTGAAGAGTTAATGTACTGTTCTGCCTGTATGCTACCACTGTCTGCAAGTTACACTTTCAGCAGATGAAAGAACCCAGTAAATTAAAAAAAAAAGTGTTTAAGTATGAAATACATACGTAAGATTTATCAAGATGGACACATGCAACCAGGTTTTATGTCTTAGATTTTAACCTCTTGGCTCACACTATGATAATTGACACAAGTCTGGTTTTAGTAACTAATTGACTAAAAAAATAATAATAAAAAATCTGCTTATTATAGATAGTACTAAAATGATTTATTATTCATAAAATTTAAGTACAGTTAAACTAGGGGAAAAAAATGTATTGGCTTTGGGCTCATAACAAAAAGAGCTTCTCCTGTTTTATGAGCCTCAGATTACCAAATAACCTTGACAGCTGAATCAGTGTTCCATGACAACAAGCAGGCCATTGATAAATAGCAACAAAACTATTAGACGTTGAATTTAAGGGATGAGTAATAGAGAAGCTAAATTATAGGTTTACCATTTGACAAACTGCAGCTTGACAAATCTGTGCTAACGTACATGACTGTATGTGTGAATGTACATAAGCAGAAGAGAGAAATAGAAACTTTTAAAGGCAAAGGTGAAATCGACATTCCATGAATGTTAAAAAGGCATAAATAAATTCTTTTCCTAGTAATTAAATTCCCAGTGTCCTTTAGCAAATATTTAATAATATGTGTAAGTACTTCTAAAAGCTACCACTTGTAAAGTTGTTTTTCTGGTTCTATTTTCAGTTTTAATTTTAAGCACTGTAAGGTAGCAAAGAAGGGGAATTGCTGGTACGTGGTAGATCTTTAAACTGGTTCTTGCAAACTCTAAAATTCCAGTTAAAACTCAAAACCAGCAATTTAAAAAGTCCCCAGCAGACGCAAGAATATATTCTACTGGAGCTGAGAAATCTCTTCCTGGCCTATGGAGAGCAATTTGTACTTTGTAGGTAAAAATGCAACAACTGTGTTTTGTCATCTTCCTGTAATTAAAGGATAAGATGTCAGGAATAATTTTACTTTAAGTTGTATCTCATGTATTCACTTGTTTTAAAATGATGGGAAATCTGTGTGAGTTGCTGCTTGTGTACAGAGAAAGATATGGCTGAGGACAAGTTAATGCATCAATCTTTCATATAGGAGAAACTTTTTACTGTGAGCAATGAGCTTCCAGGCAGATTTGTGGGCCTCCTGTCCTGACATTGATGCAGCAGCTTTTGATTTACTGCTGTAAACTGTGGTGGTTACAGTCAAGTGGTGCTATCATTTCCCAGAGCAGATCTGCAGGTGGCAGGTGGCAGCAGTACGCCTGCACTGGTCTTGACCATGATCTGAAAACATCTGAGTTTTACTGTCTTTCACAGTTGTGTTGAAAAACCAACATGTTTAATAGCTGTTACGCCAGCCCACAGTAGTGGGATTAAAACATTACATCATTAGATAAAGACTTAGTGAGCAAGAATACAACAATCAACTTACTGGTTTTACAGTGTTTTCCCTTAACTTGTCTGGAAAATGCACAATAGTCAGACAAACTGCAGGATTAAAGCTGAAGATGTAGATGAAGTCCTGGGATCTGTGTTACACAGGGGTCATACTAGATGATCTAATTGGATCTTCTGTTCTAAAAATCTATTAATTATGCTTGTGTAAGAAACAACTGTAGCTTCATTACAAGGGAATTAAACACTGGAAATTCATCTTGTCCTAAACAGTCTCACTACTACCAGTAGCTACTGGAGGTGAACTTGAAGCTTGACAAATAAATAAGAAAGATCAACAGCAAACCTAGTTAAGGTTTTGGTTGGTAAAAACAATTGTGTGTGAAGGGTTTCAAGCATTTGTAATTTATTCAATTTTCCTGAAACAACATGAGTGGTGTGAACTGTCATTTCACAAATACAAATTAAGAAACTTTTGATTGTATTTTCTTAGAAATAAATTATGCATATTTGTCCACGTTACATCCGTCCCTGATATCTGTTATATAGGCATCATTTCCAAAGGGAGGCTTATACCATTGTGATTCTGACCTTTAATATGATATTCATGTTATCCTTTATTCATAAAGAGAAACACAGAAGTCATAATATATTCAGCTATAGCAGGTGCTTAGCAGCCAGCATTTCTAATGCCCACAGCATTTTAGCTTTCAGAAGATCAAGAATATCCAGTATTTAAGATGCTTATGGTAGAATTTTAACATCCCCCCTAAAATGCAGATGTTCGTATTTCCATGTCCTTCATGTTTGTAATGATGGATAGCCAAAGAGGTGCTTAGCCAAAAACGTTTTGTTTTTTTTTTAAACAAAAAGCGCAAGTTAGTCATATGCTTTCATCCAAAACAATCAGAACCCGAGCCAATGCAGTGCACATAAGATACCTTGGAAGGATTAATTTATGCTGTGTAACCAATAAGAGTTCTCTGCATATATGTATTTTTTGCAAATCTTGCAGCTGAGACAGTGAGTAAAATGCAAAATCCAACACCTAAGGGCATCATGTAGATTTGTAATACACCCTAGGGATGCCTAAGGTCGAGAAACCACTGAATGGATTACACAGATTCATATATGTAGTTTTTTCATCTCTAACAGATATGATCACTGTTAGTTGTACTACATAAATTTCTTAGAATACTGTGTGTGAAAGAACATGAGATCATCCCAAGTCACACAAAAAAGTTATTAAAAAAAAAGAAGGCTGAAAGTTCAATCCTCTTTGGTGAGGTGTAGTATGATGTAACATCTATATACCATATAGATCAGCTGCATGGTGGCAAAGGCTTTGCTAAATATCTGTAGAAGAAAATCAATATGCATATCAATATACGGATCTTAAACTGGAACAGAAAGCATATCAGCTCTGCTAAAAATCCTCCTCTTCAAAATAGTGCACTCTTTTCTCTTGTCAGTCATCTGAAAGTTAGGCATCTAAACTGGGTAAGGCATTTCCCAGGGGATGGCTTACCCTGCTTATCACATAGATCTAGTTTTAAGTCAGATGAATAGCCCTCTGAAGAGCCTTTTCCCGGGTCTATATAGAGACCTGAGAAGAGCTTAAACTGGGCATTTGTGGCTGGAGTTTATGAAATGAAAGCAACACTTGAGACTGAGATTGAAAGAAGGACACATATTGCAAAATGATCTGAAGGCACAGTGTTTCACACAGGGTTTCTGCTGTTGAATTCAAGATGCATGATTTGATATCCATACTGATGTAAAGATAATGGAGTCAAAGTCTCAGGATGATATAGTGTAACTAGATTTCTCTTCCTCTGGATTATCAACCCTTTCCTGGGTGTATTTATTCTACTGCAGACCAGGGCTTAGATTAGGTTATGCTTTTTTAGGATAAAGAATGTTAGGTTTTGTGGTTTTTGGTTTTGTTTTCTTCCTCATTCTGCTTCCCCCCAACAGATTTTGGCAGCAGTAAAAAGAAATAGCACTTGCCTGTGCCCTAAACTTCAAGTACATGAGCTAAAATTAAATATCCACTAAACATAACTTGCTGAATCTGCAAGCAAATTATTATTTTGTCAGTCCTCACTTTTAATCTTAGAATTAAACTAGAGGAAGGTACTATTTTTTAAACAACTTAGCCCTCACTTCTTCCCCTTTTTTTCTCTATCTCTGACTACTGATCATTGCAGTGCCTACAAATGCTCCATGGCTAAGAAGAGAAAAGCTGAAGAACTGATATCGGGCGTTCCCATCAACAAAAGGAAGTCCCTGCTAATGAAACCCCGCCACTACAGCCCCAGCTTGGAATGCAAAGAAGAAAATGAAGACAGGAGTGATTTACAGGAAGAGATCAGTGTCCTCGAAAGCTCCACTCCAGGTAGTCATGCAGTACGTCTCTGTTTGAAGATGACTTCCACAGGAAGGGAGATAAGAAACAGTATTTTCAAAAAGGATGTAGGAAGTGTCTAGCTTCCTACAGAGTTGGAATGGTGCATTTCTGTCTAGGTTTAATCATCGTACTTCAGATTATTTTGCACAATAACTCCTCCTGGGGTCTAGTAAACACTTTGTAGGTCACACAGAGAGACAACTACTGCAGCTGGTCAGATATGGAGCAACATCTGCTTCTCCACTAGCTCCATGAAAGAACAAGATTCAGCCTACCACTGAGAAAAACATATTTATGAAGAGTAGATTTTCACTGGAATATATATAGCATTTAGGAATTAAAAAAAAAAAAAAAAGAAAAAAACCAACACAAAAAATCTCACTTAGCAAAACATTGTTGACTTTAACATTTAGCAAAGCAATTTCATGAGTGTGACTGCTATGTGTGTTCTGTTTAACACGATTATTAAACTCAGCACTTTTATACTTATTCGTACTCTGCTAAGCCAAACATGTCCAATAGTTTATAGAAACTTCTACAACATGTATACTGGAAAAGATGGAAAAGGATGGGAAGACAGAATGATATAGCTACAGTATGCCTTTATTGCTCGCTCTTTCTATGTCCAGATATGTCTGTCTTTGTTTTAAAGGCAGGAGTCATCAGTAGGTAGCAAATATCAAGATAAAAACAATGTGATCTGGCACTGGAAATTAGTAATCACAGATGATATGAAAACAGAATGGATTTATATTCCTCTCAGTTGTTGGTTGCTATGAGAGTTTAAAGGTAATTTATTTTCCCCTCAGCTTCTTCTTAGGAAATATTTTGGAAAGACAGGGTGCTAGATAATCTCATCTAGCCTCCCTTTCCCACAAAATATTGGGCCAGATGACGTTTTGAGATCCCTAGCTGTTCTATGATTCTATGAAGGACTGAGATTAGGAATTTATATCTTTATTCACTCAAAATAATATTTTCTTAAAAACAAAACAAATTCTATACATATGAACACTATAAAACACAGAGAAGTCTCTCTTTCAAATTAGAGAGCCAAATCCTGGTTTTACTGAAATCAGTGGGTGTATCATTTGTGTACGGCCAAGATTTCATTCAGTTGTCACTTGTAAATTTTCCAGGGGTCTGCATCACATCAGTGTGAAAGCCTAAAAGGGAGCTCCTTCTTTATACAGAAAATTAATTAACAAGGTGATACCCAATTCCCCTGTCTTTTGGGTGACTAATTTTTTGGGGAGAAGGGAGAGTCTTGGAGAGTCTTGGGGTGGTTGTTGGTTTGTTTTTTTTTTTAGATATATAGATTTTAGCTATTTTTTCTTTTATTGATTCAGCCTGGTTCCTGGCCATCCAGAGCTGCCCTCAGTAGTGTGGGGTTTTTTTCCCCTGTGTCTGTCCTCTGCACAGCTTGAAGAACTTGGTGAAGGGAAGGTACTGTGATGGGTGTAAAGGTAGAACTTGTGCCATATAGAGCTGAACCTAAGTTATTTAGCTGATTCTGCTTATAAAAAAGGGCAAATGTTGGGCCAGGATCATTGACATAAATGTAGGGGAACCTTGTTTGCACCAAGCCCTTCAGTCGAAAGAAAAAACCCACATGATTTCAAAATGATTTATTTGATACCAGTGAGATTTCTCCCAACCTGCTTGTGTTAGTGATAATACAACCTACCCATTTTGCATTAATTGTTCCGGCTACAGAACAAATTCCATTTAAAGCATACAGCTGGTCTGGGAAGGTAGGTTTATTTGTAATTTCTCAGTGTAATATTGCTCATTTTATTATGAACTCATGACTCATGTCTGTTGATCAGTTAATGCTGATCCAGTACACGGATTGGTGCAACTGTAAACCAAGCTGAGTTTGATTATTTTTAAAGTAAATTTACAGCCTGTAGAAGTAAAAAGCAAAGCTGGGACAGCTGAACCATTAGGACTGGTTCAATAACAAATTTTTAAGCATAGCATTTAAAATGTGCTGATTATTAAAGGAGTAAAACTCTTATCATGCATTTATATTATATTTCATCCCTCCTATAAAAATAACTGAAAAGACCTGTTACTGTTACCAACTTTTGTTTGGTTTATTTCCTTTTGAAGAGTGGGAGATTTCTATTAAAACTAGAACTTCTTACTTTTTTAAATGACCCACTGATGGGATTCTGCTATTTTCCAAATGGCAGAAGAGAAAATAACAAAACCGCATTTGACTAAAGTTGGTTATAGAGCCAAATTATCATTCTTTCTTGCAGAGATGTGAAAAGACAGCAGACTTCTTTATTCATAATACTGCAATGTGTGTGGTACTAGACCAGCTGCTAAAAAGTTACACTAAGGTTTACAGACATTATATTTAAACACAACTTTATGCACACAGTGCACAAGGCCACCTCTCCCTACATGAGTCCAATTTTCTGAAGAAGAATAAGAATTAATCAATATTTTCTTTTAACATATAACAAACAGTTGAACCAAACAATTATGTAAACTGGAAATGACCCAAAATGCTAACAGTTTGGCAGCAGTAAAGTGAAATGCATTGTGGTGCACATGTGCATTTTTGTCCCCCTTTTCCCCTCCACAATAATCTGCACTTAATAGGAATATTTTAAACTATGTAGCTAAGCAACAGAGGTAATTGTTGCTTTCTAGAGCTTTTGTTAGGCACTCTAACACAGCCCAAATATGCATAATTAGGTATAATGTCTATAAATCATTATTGTACACATGTGGGTAGTTAAGTGGATTGAGAGAATAGTTCAATGAATTGGACATATTCACTGAAAATGCTTTTTATTTGTTTTCTGTAGTTCATAATACTTTAAAATTATCATAACCCTTTACACTTTCTCTTAATAGCTCGCTGTGTTATTGAGAGAAACTTCATTTGCATTTTAGACTATGCTTAATTTATTATTTAAACCTGGAGTTCTTCTGATTCAGGAGAGGACAGGCACATCTTATGAAATAGTCTGTGCTTGTTTATTCATCCTCCTTTCTAGGAAGTAAAATGTTAAATTTTTCAGTTTATGTTGAATAGATCCCAACAAAAGAATGTACCCTATAATCAGCATTATTGAAGGGGCTAGTGTTGTGACTAAATTCTTCCCTTCATCCAAAAATGCTTTTAGTTACTATGGCAATATTTACTTGATCCTGGCAAACCAGTGTTGATTTTAGAGAGATAATTACCAGAAAGGAAGATGATGGAGATGTATTTTTGAGTGTCCTTGTCAGAGGAAATGTTTATAAAAAATTAAATGAGATACAAAAGGCATATTGTCTTCCACACCGACAACCTCTCCTACATGCAGCCTCTATTACCTGCTGGCTGCTGCTTTTCTTCTGAAGAAAGATGTTTATAAAGACAGGATGCACTTCAGTGGTATCTTTAACAAGTCCTTTATGAGTCTGTACATAACAACCATTTCTGTTTGCCTGTGCATGACCTGATCTATCACTTAATGTGGCAATTGCAATGGTGACCAGGAGCTTGCCCTTTGTGAAGTACTGAGGTTTTTTCCACCAAGGTCTTTCATGGGATTTGGGGTGACTGGGAAAGTAATTAGGGTCTATTATGAGAAAATATTTGGGAATCTTAGATGAAAGAGAAGTGAAAATAGATTAGAGGAATTTTAAAATGGGTGTGTGTGTGTGCACGTATATATGCATACAATATATAGATTGTGTATATATATAATATCTATCTATATATGGCACATCATATTTATATAAATGTACAATGAATGTGCATGAGTTTTAAGGTAATATATGTCTTCACCATCAGTGAAAAATATCAACATATTTCTTTCTCATATAGCTTTGAAGCTATAATATAAAGTAGACATAATCTTAGAAGGGCTTTCTGTGATGCTACGAGCAGTCATTTCAAACACAGCCTTGGTGTGAATTCAGTCATTTCACATTGTCTCTGAGTAAAGAAATGGCAACTGGTAAGTAAATATCTTCATAGCACTTCAATGAAATACAAAAAGCAGTTATTCTTATGTATTTTTCTCTTGCCTTTTTCTCATGCAGAGGAAAGTGCTCCAAAACCATCTGAGGAAACCCCTCATTCAGGTGGGCAAGAAAATTCCAGTCGAAGAAAAGATAACTACTCCAGCTATCAAGATACCGTGGCCAAATCTTTGATGAACATCGGAAAATTAGCAAAAGATGCACCCAGTCAAACAGTGGCAGAAAATCTAAACGATAGTGGCATTCAATCCCTAAAAACAGAAAGTGATGACACTGATGAATGTTACATGATTAACTCAGCTGAAGGAAAGGAAAAGACTGTTATTTCTGACCCAAAATACTGTTCATCTGAGGAAAATGAAAGTAACTCTGAAATTATGGACAATGAGTGGGACAGCTCCTCAAATTTCTCTGAGGAAACTAGTGTAAAGCTCCATGTAACTCAGAAGTATATTGTAGAGTGTAATCAACCTAGCATTCTGGAAGTCCCAGAAATTAAGAAGGAAGAAGTAGAATTTGGCCCTTGTGAAACACTTTGTGACTCAGAAACAGATCTAAGAACATCCCAGGAGTCTCACCCAGATCCTTTTGGGAAGAGAATTCAGAATCCCTTCCCTGAAAGTGAAGAAGACGACAATGAGTGCCTGTCAGAAACCACAGATGTGTCGGTTGAGCTGGACAAAGCAAAAGGGAACTTGAGTTTGCTAGAACAAGCAATCGCTCTGCAGGCAGAGCAGGGGCATGTGTTTCACAGCACATACAAGGAACTGGATAGGTTTCTTCTGGAACATCTAGCAGGGGAAAGGAGACAAACCAAAGTTATTGACATTGGTGGGAGACAGATATATAGCAACAAACGTAAGGAAGTATTTTTGGCTGTTCTTACTGGCTTAAGCATTTATCCTGTGACTAGTGGAGGATTCTGAGCTGGGGTTTATAGCAACAGTAAAGAATCTGGAATTTAGCTGGTAATTTTGTTAATTATGTACCTTCACACTAGTGCCTTATATCTAACCAGGTTAAACGCTAGGTACTTGGCTTCCTGCCAAACCGCTATGTGACATAATCAGTAATGGGTACTAAGAGGGCTGTGTAGCTGGCACTGACACTCCTTCTCCTCCTTTTCCTCCTCCCCTGCCTCCTCCTCCCTAGGGCGCTAATACAAACCTCCTAAATTTCACCAGCCAAAAAAGAAGGCATTAAAACGGTGTTTAAGGAAAGGTTAGGGTGAAAAATTGGCCTCTTCCAAACATACCACCTAATTCCTAAGCCATTTGTTTTCTGAGTTCAGTCTACTTCATGTATCAACATTACATTTTGCTACAGCCAGCACTTCTGAGCCAGGAAAGCACAAGCCATGCTCTTCAGCCTCATTCACCATCAGCCGAATTATCAGTAAGTTCCAAAATCTTTATTGTTTCTGATGGTTTGTGGCATCCTACAAAGCTGTAGGAGCATTGCTTCATTCAGGGTACTTAATCCAGCTTCCAGAAGTGGAGATTTAAAAGATTTGGGTTTGATATGTAAACCAGGCTGTCTTGTTTGAAACTCCTCAATTGAGGATAATTACAGAACATCAAGAGATGTCATTTTATAAGCACACTCTCTGCTGTAGTAAGTGACTACATTCATCTGTCCTTTGACTTTTCCTTTTGGGCTTCCAAATATACTGAGGTCACCCCAGAATTGCTGCAATTTCTGCTTTTGATAAATGATTTCTATTTCTAGTGTTACTTTAGAGTAATCCCTGTGGCTGTTGCAAATATTACACTAGTTCAGTCATCCAAAGCATTTAGAGTATAGCTGACTGGGTTTTTTAGGAGTTGCAACTGTAAAACATTCACTGGAGCATTTGGGAAGAATATGCATGCATCTAATTTTTCTGTTTCAAGCAGTCTTTTCATTAGCATGTCTAAAGCTGTGTATGCATGGTATTAATCTACCTCCTTGCTAAAGTACCTGAACCTTTATTTGCTCAGATGACTATGATATATGCAGGAATTTTACAGATACTTTTTTGTATCCTGAGACCAGCTGTGTTCACAAGGTTCACGCTGGTGTCAATGTGACTTTCTCACAGCACACTTAGGAAGGAACAGTGATGGTAAGCATGGCAGAACCTGGCCCTTCCTGATTTGCCTCATATTATTATTAGCAGTAGTTTGCAGGTGAGTTCAGAGGTAACATTCTTGGAGGAACAAACTCAGCTTTGTTCATGTTGTATAGACAACGTATGTTTTTAGTCAATGTAGCATCAGGCACAGCATTTTTTCACTTTACATAATAAATTGGGGTTTATTGCTAAAATATCCACCATCAAATCCATCATCTATTACTTTTCTTTCTTGGGTGCGTCAGAAAAACATGACTTAAGTTTACATTTTTCCATATTTTTAATGACAAACCTTTCCAATCAGTGGTGGGAAATTTAAATCATATTTCAGGGTCCCTCTTTAGCTCCTATCCACTATTGCAGCACTTCCCATTTGCAGTGATTCAAAAAAGCGTGTGGTCTCCTGTTGATGCCCAGTCTATTTTCTTTCTTCCCTATTTATTTTCTGTTTTTATTTTTACCTAAAAACTTGCCAGGAAGTTTAACCCTCAGCTGTCTCTGGCAATCCTGTTCCTAAGCACATCCTACCTCACGGTCCAACAAAACGAGCTTGAAGGAGGCTGCTCCCTGTGCTGGCTGCAGCTGTTTTCTCCCCCGGTGCCGAATGCTGTTGGCAGCCAATCACAGATGGAGCTAAAACCATCCTCAGCAATTTATGCAGCCACTTCCTCCAGATTTTTCACAAGAGAATTTCTGGATCAGAATTCATTCCTTTCTCACCCAGACTTTTGATCCTGCACTGGAAGTCAAATAAAGGCTTTCTGACCACTGCTTCTTGCGCAATTCTAGGTGCTTGACATAAAAATTGGGAACGCACTGTGGCCATTACAGAGTGGTAGCTGTGGGGCTGGGCTGAGACCTCGCCTTTGAAAGGGTATCGGCTGCTCCATGTTTTCAGTGTCATTGTGGGCTGCTCCACAAAGCAGCATTGCCATGTGTACCAGAGGGAGCTTCTTGCCTTGCCTCTCAAATGTAAAGTGGCATGTATTCAGTTTCCTAACAAAGAACCTACAGCCTAGAGATCTGCGATATTTAAGGAATGGCTTCTGGTTGAAATGCTTTTTGTTTGTTTGTTTGTTTGTTTCACACCTCAGCTTTTATTTGGTCGTCCCAGCTTCCCAGATTCTGACATTAACAGAGTAAAAGATTGTTTCTGCTTTTTTATTTATTCCTTTATAGATCTTGCTGTTGGCTGATGCTGCAAGTTTTCTGGCTTATTGGATTGTGGCTTCTGTCCTGTTTGAGGCTCTGAAGGGAATAAATGACACTGCAATCCTAAACCTGTATGGTTTAGCACATAAATGGCATATTGGGGGGGGGGAGCCATTGTTCAAAGGACACAGTGTGAAAACCTAAAATAATGCTTAAATCACATATGCCTCTGTTAAAACTTTGCGTAGGAATTACGTCTGAAGTACAAAATAGAGGGTATCACTCTGCTAGGATCACTCAGCTGGGTGCAGACAGGGGCTGAAACCAAACAAAAACCTTATCTGATTTCTCTGCAGATTCACCCAGGCCTGAAAAGAGAGAAACCAAATGCCCCATCCCAGGATGTGATGGCACAGGGCACGTGACTGGGCTGTACCCTCACCACCGCAGTCTCTCAGGCTGTCCACATAAAGTTAGAGTGCCACTAGAAAGTGAGTATCATCACCCTGCAGTCCAGAATTAACAACTGGATCTGGCCTGTTATTGTGAGCAGTATGTGCTCATGCTGGAGAAGAAACCCACTTTTTCTGGGTGAGATTGCAGAATGAAGTTGAGAGAGAAGACATCACTCCTTCTTTGCTGCCCAGCTCTTAGTTGCAGTCCTACTTCCCACACTTGTGAAGCTCAAATACTCCTTAGCAGTAGAGCATTACGAAGAGCAGTAGGCGCCTCAGGTGGCCTGGGGAGAAGAAAATCAGAGCCCAGCTATCCTCACTCCACCAGCAGACATGCTTGCTGTAGTCTCATGGCTCTTCAAGATCTCGCTTGCCCATGGTTTTGCTAAGGCATGCACACAGAAATCACCTGCTTGTTTTAGAGCTGCTGGTTTCATTGCAAATAAGCGAGAGGCCTGGGCATGCCTATTCAGAGATGTTTCCAGTGTTCCCCTTACCACTGAACTCAAAAAGGTTACTTCTATCAGTACATTCCAGCCTTGGTCCACAACACGTCTCTCATGTATGACTGTATCGTGCTAACCCTTTTTTGTGCGGTCTAGCCTGTTTCCCTGCTTATTTCTAACTGTGCTGATCTGATTACATTGGTTTGTGTGTGCATGTAATCCTGCAATGTGATACAATGAAATGCTGTGCAATAAGCCAAAACCTAATGTGAAACTATTTGTTTAAACAATCTCGTTAGTTGGATTTTTTTTTTTTTTTTTTTTTTTTTATGGTGACAGGCATAGCAACAAATTAAAAGGATACATGCACTTTATCAATGTCTTGGTCCTAACTGTAGTTCTCTCTGTTTTTAAGTCTGATAGTAAACTGTATTTATGGAAGCATCTGCTGAGGTAAGCAGGCTGCTGCATTTGGAAGGCCTTAGCAACATTAACTTTCTAAAAAGTTAAAATTAACAGGTCTTTGTTAATTATCACACTTCCAATCAGATGCGTTCTGCTGAACAAAACACCCCAAAACATTATAATTTTGTTTCTGGCAAACCAAACCAGTTGACTGAACAGTCAGCTTTTTTGAAGCACTGTGCACCCAAATGGGTAACACAGTACTGAAGTCATGAAGGCAGACATACAAGAAATTATTCTGTTTAACACAGATGTACATCTCAGTCTCAGAAAGATGATCCATGCCAAAGGGCATAAGAAATCTACATGCAAGAGGTTGTAACCACTGCTGAGAGCATAAGCCACTGTTTGGGAGCATGACCAATTGGTCTAAAGTAGTTTCAGCACAGCTTAGATGATCAGAAGGTATCTCAGGGGGTATACAGAGATCAGATCATCTTACTAAGCTGTGAGGCATAAAAAGCCTTCCTGTACCTGAAAGCTAGTCCTCCCTGAGCCAAGAGTGTCTACAGCTATACATAGCATGACTGTGTGCCCTAGGGCTACTCTGTCACACTCCTTTTCTAGTTGTCTGTGTTAAGTTGTATATCAATAAGAGGGCAAAGTGTTTCATGATGTAACATCCTTGCTAGCTTCCACCTTTATTCTTATAAAGTCCCCAGAAACAATGATGTGCATGTGGGATGACACATTTCAGCAGTATAGGAATAAACTGGTATATGCTGGAGGCACCAGCTGTGCTGTGTTGTAGGTCCTTTGCTTCTCCTTTTCTGGTCAAAACGTGGCAGAATTGAGACTCTGAGTCCAAAGAAGAAATGTTATTTTTTTCAATATATATATATTTATATGATGCATGTTATTATTACCTTTTATTTTTTTTCTTCCCTTATTCCTGTTTAGTTCTTGCCATGCACGAAAATGTTCTAAAGTGCCCCACCCCAGGATGCACTGGAAGAGGACATGTCAACAGTAATCGCAACACACACAGAAGGTAGATCAGAAAAGTTCCTGTCCACTTCAAACATAACATGTTCTGGGGAGTAAACTGATGGGCACATCTTGGAATTAGATGTCATGTACTACACTGCAGAATGCCTATGAACTGCAAGGGAAGGCTGTATTATTTATAACCAAATAATTGTGTTTAATTTCATTGCATAAAAAAATGGCTGCAGCACTGAGGATGATAAATTCCACTAGTATTTTTCACAGATGAGATTTCAAGCTACAATTTCATCACAGTCTTCACAGTGCAACATCATCATATACAAGGGCTAGGAATGAAATTATTATTGCTACAACTGGAAAATGGAGCAGAAATCAAAGCTTCTTCATTCTGCGTGACATTCATGCTAGTCCTTGACAGGAACTTCCCATCAAGGCACATTGCCTTTTAGCAAAACAGAAAACTTTAAGTGGAATATTTTAGAATCCTTTTAAAAACTAACTCCATTTATTACCCTCAGGAATGTCATCCTCCCACTTGGAACACTCCTGTCTGTTTAACTTGCTTCCTGCAGGGATAAAGTAAAATTGAGAAAAGCCTTCCAGACAGGCAGCTGGGGAACCACAGCTGGGCTGCAGGTGAGGCAGAGAGCCGATGCGCTCTGTCTTCAGCAAGCCACTGCTATCGGCATGGCTCTTGTCAATGCTGCTTTCTGCTGGAAGCCAGCAATCCAAAACATTCCATCATAATGCTTCTGGAAAAATATAATGTCAATCTTGCAAACAAACGCGGGACATAAAAATTTCAAAAACCAGCTTTATTTTTGAACTGATTTTTTTTGTGAGATTTGCTTTTTTTGCTGCTTATTGATTTGTTACTGTTATTGTGTGAGTGCACTAAAAGCAAGAATTATCATATTATGTTACTATCTTTAATATAAGAAGTTAGTCTTTACCAGAGAGATTACAAGCTCATCTACAAGAATAAATAAGGAATATTTTTTCACTGTGTTTCCTGTCATCTTTGCAGCACATCAGCTGTATCATAAGCAACCCAAGAATAGGAAAAGAAAACATGTTCTAATCTGATAAAGAAAATAGAAAAAAAGCCAAGCACAACTTGAAATGACAAAATGCGTTACTTGATAACACTTGCTTATATACCCCTGGTTTTTTCCAAAATTCTTTTTCCTTTTAATCAGCATGAGGCTTATATGCATAGTTTAGCTGACAAAGTAAATGTCGTTTGTCAAAAAATTTACTAGTGACTTGATAGCCACAAAACATCAAAGCCGAACTGTAGGAAACTCCTGTGTAATTCAGTTTCCAGATATATCACCTCAAATACAAAGATTTCACATACTTTGCATTAAGGATTGAAAAACATATGAATCTGGGCTATAAGAGCAGCAGCTCCCATTGATGCACAGGGCATCAGAAAAGTTCGATGTCATTGAGTTCCACAGCACACATTTCCTTTACTCAAGATTTCATTTTAACATGTGTTTGGGTTTTTTTCCTTCTTTTTTCTGTTCTTCACCTTGCTTTTAAACAGCCTTTCTGGTTGTCCAATTGCTGCAGCTGAAAAGTTGGCAATGTCACAGGAAAAAAACCAGCTCGAGTCTCCAAAAGCTGGGCAGTGCCATGATCAGACTCACAGGTAGGAACCCTCAAAAATCAGTCTATCCAAAGTATTTCTGTACAAACTCTGTTGATCAGTCCTCACTCTTTCA